AGAGGAAACACACAAGTCATAAAAACAGTATCGTAAGGCAACTCTTTAACTTTAGGGTCCATTTTTCCATAATTTCTTGGGTGATCATATCTGTTTGATGCGATGATAGTCTGTGTGTGCAAGAGGAGGAAGGCATGCAACTCAAAATAGAGAAACTTGCTGCAGCTGCACCCGGTATTCAGGTTATCGAAGCTCCTCACCGACTGTCCTGATAACGTGAATGATGTCTGTTTGCGTCAAACTTTGCATTTTAGCACAGTCAGAATTTTATCATTTTCTGGCTAAAAATTGATTTGAGCGCATGAAAATGCAGCTGTTGTTGCAGTGCTGAATTAATGTCGGAATGCTGGAACATTAAGCCAGAAGAGAGGCCGAATTTCACGAAGTGCCGCAAAGATACCGAAGAGTTGCTGAAATCCAGCTGCGCAGAAGTATGTGTCTCATTGAAAATGTTTCGAGAAATGGCTGGTACTGGAGAATACTCTTATTAATGTGTGTAATTGTTTGCAGCTGTACGAGCAACTGCAGAGTCAGCTAACCAATGAAATGAACGAAATGAAGCGGTATGCACAGTGGCGTGATGGCCGGGCCTATTCGAGTCGTGTGAAGAAATCTCCCAAACTTAGCAGTGATACAGTTACCACTTCTATCTGATGTTTGGCGCACATTTCTTCGCCTGACCCCAATATACATTGTCAGACCGGAATCCCCTCCCATATTTTGTACTCTGGAAGCAGCACAGTCCTGAAAAGTGATAGTACTGTCCCAAAGAAGTGATTTTCACAACGGCGGGTTAGTTCCGGACTGCGAATGTTGTGCAAAAATCGCAAGTGGAAAAGTGAAAGAGTTTTAGATACCATCATCACATGAGGGGAAGAGTAAAGAAAAGGAAGCCGACGGTGGGAGGAGTGCCGCAGGTGGCAAAAAATCATAAGCAGCGAGCTTATTATCAACGAGCTGAAACCAGTTATTGGCGCACGATTTGATCTTGCAATGCTTTTGATTGAGTGCACGTCTAAATTGTTGTGTCGTTTTTGCGTGCTAATTATACAAATTTTTG